AAAAAATTAAATCTTCCTTATATTACAAAAAGATATTATCAATTAACATATATTTATTATACAGTTTATCATAATACGACGATTTACTGAAAAGATAACAGTATAATCAATTGAATATCTCAAATGTATTACACTATTACTAAATAAAAAATAAAAAATTTATTCATAGAAAAATATGTATAATTTAAGCAACTCGAAGTACTCACTCTTTTTCATAAACTCTGTAAGGAACTGGTCAATAATCATTTTCATCATTTTCAATATCATGTATGAATTCAATTATTGTATCTTTTGGCCCTTTGTGGGCTCATTCTTTTATTTCATCATAAAATTTTTTGCAATCAAATTGATTGCTGAAATGTATGTATCCAATTCTAATAAAAATGTAAACAAAATGTTAGTAAAAAATAATAATAATAATTTGTCTAAAAGTGTTCCACATACTGATTGTATCTTCTTTTAACAATATGAACAAAGTTTAACGTCATCATTTTTTATAACCATTTGTCAATCTCCACATAGGTTAAGCCTCTCTTATTGCAATCAAATTTGATTGTACGCTCTAACTTGTTACAACACGATAAATGTTCGTATATTGGTAAGTCTAAATCTGCAAAAAAAAAAAAATGATGATAATCAATAATGATCCAATTTAAATCAAGAAAAATCAACCAATGAGATTCTTAATAGAATTAGATCAAAATGGGTAAGATTTTCATGCAGGTGCATTGGTTTCTTTGAATGATGAAGGAGATACATGATTGATTCCTCCTTCAGATCAGTAGACCTTCTCAAAGAGACCATAATTATGAGAATGGCCACTTCCTACTATTACAGTTGCTATGAAAGAGCTATTTTCACAACTTTTACACCTTTACATTACATTCTTACAATTTTTTACACTACATTCTTACAACTCTTTACATTACATCCTTACAATTTTTTACATTCTCGCCATGCAGGTGTATTGGTTTCTCTGAATGATGAAGGAGATATATAACCAGTTCCTCCTCCGGAATCAGTAGACCTTCTCAAAGAGACCATAATTATGAGAACGGTCTCTTCCTACTATTACAGTTGCTACGAAAGAGCCACTTTCACAACTTTTACACCTTTACATTACATTCTTACAATTCTTTACATTCTTGCTTAGTCTTACAACTATTACATTTTTTTTCTTACAACTATTTACATTCTTTACATTCTTGCCTACATTCTTACAACTATTACATTTTACAGATATACATTTTATAATTATTACATAAATTATTTTTGCATGTATACTTACTGTTATCCATTTTAAAAAGCTACGAGAATGAAGAGACTGAGAGTGAGTGGAGTAAGTGAAAAGATTTGATATTTATATTTATCATGAACTGATTTTGTTATTATGCGCGTGATTAATACTAATTTTACTGATTTAAACTTTTTGTTATTATACGCGTGATTTTACTGATTTAAACTATTTGTACTTATACGCGTAATTAATTCTAGGATACTATAATCATGTCTTTATATCAGAATTAAGTCCGATCAATTTTAGGATACTCTGAACCTTTTTGATTGTTATTTCATGTCTTAATATCAGAATTTTAAGTCTGAAAACTTAATTTTATATTCTAGAAGATGGAAAAACTTAAGTTAAAGAATGCGAACATTACAAAAAAAAGTAAAAATGTCATGAACACAGATTGTTATGCTGTCAAGCTAAAAAACATGGTTTTCAAAGTTTATTTCAAAATGGTGAATCACTGATTATGTAAACAATGAAGAAACTTTGCTTTTGAAGAACAACTCTTTTTACCGATGAAAATGGTATTTAGTCATATGATTAATAATCGTTATTTGTAATCGTTGATGGAAACTGAGATTAGGGTAAATGACACCTAATAATTAATTATTTATTCGCATGAGGCTCTATTCTGATACCTTTGAATTAGTCCTGGTATAAAAATGTTTTTTTGAACATTTTAAACTAGAAAAATTTTGAATCATATACTGAAACAAATCAGAATCTACAATAACATCTTTAATTTCTAATTGTGATTTGTTCTCTGGATTCCTTTGGAATCATTTCCTTTTAGGAAACAAAGAAAACGCATGTAGAAAATTAGGAATCCAAGTTTTACAAAGTTTAAGGGACAATAATCTAAGTGGAAAAAATTTTATAATCAAGATCAGTAACAAATAGTTCTGATTTTTTCCCGTGATCATTTTTTGTGACTTTAAAAAAGTCATTCTTTTATTTCCTAAAAGGAAAAAGTTCAAAAAACAAACATAAGAAAATAACTATGTTCGGATGCATAGTTATTTGCAGAGATGACTTGAGTTATCAGTAGCTGTTCCTTCAAACAAGTTCGGACACAACTAGCTATTTCTATTGATATTCTCATTAACTAAACCTCTTCAAAATCCTACGATTAGTTTCATCAAAATTTTACTATAGATTTATTATAGTTTCAGCAGAGTTTCGGCAGTTTCGGCATTTATAATAAGTTTCGGCAGTTTCGCCATTCTCCAAAGTTTCGCCAGTTTTTTAATATAACTTTAATATAGTTTCGGCAGAATTTCGCTTTTCGGCGAAACGCCATCTTGCCTAAACCCCTAGGTTTCGGCAAGCAACCTTAATTCTCATTAATCTGTCTCCTTTAAAGTAGAAGATAGTCTCACTATGTGCTACTATCCGGAAATGCCCAATTTTACTGGAATAATGATTCCCCGTTTGCATGTAATAGATCTTGTTATATTAGTTTTTTTATCTGACAAAAAATTAATACAATTAAAAAAAGATAAATCCTTAGTATGAGATCAAGCTGCGCAGCGTGTGATTTTTCATGCATTTGATGATTCTTATCATATATGTTTTGTCTGGTCGCTCAAAGATGAGGTTCACCACATCGGACTTGAGGAACTCAAGGCAGTCTAACTAGTCGAATTAGATAGGTATATCCCGCCTAGTTATTACTGTAAGGATCGGACAATTTCAAGATCATCAGATATTCGAGACTAGTTAGTTATTCGCTTTTTAGTCATACATTTTAGTTACGCATTTTCATTACACATTTTTCATTATACTTTTGTTGCTCAAAAAATCATAATTTGGTTAGTACTATAACTGTTATACTGGTCACTTACAGTTTAGTATTGCTAAGTTATGGTCAGCTTCTTGGCAAAGGCGCTTTGTTAAGAAGCTAATACGTATTATTGTAGAGTATAATAAATAGATTTATACCTAGGTATTTTTTTTGTGCTTTTCGGTTGGTTGAATTTTTTTTTTGTTTCCTGTATTACACGACAGAATTATAGTCTAGGATCATCATTTAGCCGAAAACAAGATATTGTTATTATATGACAGTTATGATCAATGTTTTCACGTCGACAACCTTAATTATGATTAGGGATGGCAACAGTCGGTTATGGTCGGTCATCGGTCGGTCATGACCGGTCAAGAACCTTTGACCGACCGACCGACTGTTTGACCGACCGTTTGACCGATCATTTTTTTTATATTTTCGCAGTGTTTTTATTAAGGCAATTGAAAAAACGTGCGAAAACATTTATTTTTTATTAAATTATTAATAAAAAAACGTGCGAAAACGTTTATTTTTTATTAAATTATCAATAAAAAAATGTTTTCGCAACGTTTCTATTAAAATAATTAAAAAAAACGTTGCAAAAACGTTTTATTTTAATTATATTATTAATAAAAACGTTTTCGCAACGTTTTTTGTTAAAATAATTAAAAACGTTTGCGAAAAACATTTTTTTTTAATTAAATTATTAATAAAAAACGTTTTCATGACGTTTTTTATTAAATTTTTCATAAAAAAATTTGGTCAGTCAAACGGTCGGTCAGAAGTCTTGACCGACCAATATCGGTCACGGTCATGACCGGTCATAATCGGTTAATGACCGTGACCGTTGCCATCCCTAATTATGATGAATAAGTATACGTTAATAAATAACCATATGAGAGATAACATTTCTATCAAAAAAGAAAATGGAAGTGAGCAAGGCTTTAATTTTATTAGAACATTAGGAACTTCCGATACTGGTCCTTTGTACTTTTGCAGATAACTAGGGAATAACTTTTTCGTTCGTTCTATGTTTTCTCATTATTGTGAAAGCTCTTCTACTGCCTATAAACATGAATCCAATCTCAATCAATGAGATCATCCCGCATGCTGAAAATAATAATATGTCATAATTTAGAAACAGAGCTATAGATACGTAATGATCTGGAACTGTGTTTCGGAAAATAGTTTTGCCGTTAGTTAACTAATAACTAAAATGCATGTGCTATCTTGTCATCTGACACTCTGAAAAATGCTTAGAGTGTCATGTGTCATCTGGCGAATCAGAGACATGCTTACAAAGAAAGTTAAGATATACAGTGGTGATCAAAATTATTTGATAACGAGGCGCATTATTGTTGATCATTTCCAAAAGGTGGTTCTCTCTGATATTACAAATGGCATAGCTCCACCCGATTGCTGTATTTACGTTATATCACACTGTGCTTGCATAAATTTGTAAGTCTCTTACTTTCCATATGTCTATCAAAAAATATTACACATGTCCACATTGTTTCATAGTAGATAGCGATTTATTTTTTCCGAAGTTATCAGGTCCAATGACAGTAACACAAGATATATAATACTTTGATTAGTAGAAAGAACAAAATACAGTACTTTCTTAGGCTATGAGATAACATGTCTAAATGAAGAAATTCGGTCTAAATAACGTATATTACATGGTTAATGATCAATACATATTAAATAGATATAAACGCAAAAAGGACATAGGTTATGCCTACGAAGTAAATTTTAATATTTTTATTGACAAGAAATAGAATAACTAATAAAACAAAATAAATGAGAAGCAGGTTGTTTTAAGGGAGGAAACACTCGAGCCCTAACCCATAAAACGAGAGTTCCTTCCCCACTACTCATTATTTCGTACCCACACACTAATCTTATCTAATGTTTTACACTAGAAACCTAGGTTTCTAGAACTTCCTCTGCAAAGGTTTTAGGAAATGTGTTCCTAATACTATGAGAGTTATTCTTATGATAAAAATTTTTCACAGTTTGTGCGCAAATCTTTCCTATGCCATAATCACTAATTTCAATTGCTATTCTATTGCATACTTCATCCAAAGTTAATTTTTTTTCGGACATAATTCTATCGGTAATGCGTTTAAAACGAGTCCAAATGTTGCACGAAATACCTTCGGATGATGCATTGGACGAAGAGTTGACGGATGAGTTAATTGATTCTGTCTCATTTTGCCCTTGGGCGGTCTCCGACTGATTAACTCTTTGCACTTCCTCATGTCTTCTTTTTTCTTCATAGAGAATAATCATGTATTTTATGTAACTATACATTTTACAGCTATTATTGTCTCAACTATAAATGATTTTAATGTAACAATGAGTATTTGCTATAAATAAATATAATTATTTTCGTTGCTTGTTAATATTGACAGTATCCGACATTGAATAAATATTGCAAAAGTATATTCCACATTGCTTCTACCGGCCAACCATGATCCTTTCATCATTTGTGCTACAAAATAAAGTTTGATATTTTTTATTTTTTTCACAATATTTTTTCCACATGTATCACAAAAGATAATATATAACTATTTCAACAGGATTAATTTATACGCTCATCTTTCATTTAAATATTTTATTTTATATATTGAAATTTACTACAACTTATATTAGGGGAAACAACAAAAAAAAAAATTGCAATAAAAAATGAATAAAAAAAAAAATAGTAGCAAATTATAACTAGAGAATGAGACTTATGGGAGGAGTCCGGAGCGTGATCAGGGGTCCTTTCACTCATTTGTATAACATTTACTTGTTTGTTTGACGTCAATATGATGTCCCAATCAGAAATGACACGACGTGCACAAACGGAACTAACCGAAAAATAAAAAAAAATGCTAATAATTTTTCGGTTTTGAACTGAAAAACAACAATAGAAAAAAGTTTACAAAAAATAGGTATTGAGCTAAAAAACTAAAATAAAAAAAAAATTAAAATTTTTTCTTCGATTTAAAAAAAAAAGAACCAAAAAATAAGAATATTAAAATAAGTATTATAGTTATAATAATTATTTGAAACAAATTATTTGTCTAATTAAAAATTTTATTAATTTTTAGTTTAAATAAAAATAATTTATTTATTCTAACTGAATAAAATCACACAAATTACACGAATTATTTATTTCGATCTTGATCATCGATCCAAACCTAAAAGGCAAAAAAAAAAAATTTTGGTAAAAATAAAAATAAAAATACAATATCAAAATCCAGTTAAAAATTATTAACCAGACATGACAAATATGAACGACGGTACACAATTCAAATTATTTGTAATCTAAGCATGACAAATTTTAATTATATAGTTTATATAGATATGAAAATAAATTGAATTATTCAAATTACAAACTAAGAAACCTTACTACTCTAGTTTTAGTGTTTAAATAATTTAGATACAAGAATACATATTTGTAATAATTTAATAAAAAATTAGCAATTGAAGTGAACATTATCACATTTTATTTGTTAAAAAAAAGTAATTTACCATCAGGAATTTCCAATTCATTTTGTTCTTCGGAATGAAGATTTGGGTTATTATATATTTCAATTTCGTCTTAATTATCAAAATAAATAAATTGAATAAATACAAAAAAAACGATAGTATAAATAAATAGATTTGACATTTTACTTACCACTAACGATATTAGACCCTTTTGTTTGTTGCGTTGTTTTTTATATTAAATTAAAATTACAATTAGTAAGTGTATGTATTGATGAATAATATTAGTTAATATACTTACTATTCTTTATTTGTAGCTTTTCAAACATTTTGGATAATTTTTTACTATTAGCTAAAATTTAAAATTTAAATTATTATAATTTACCCAATTATTCTCTATAAGAAAACTGCTATAGAAATACATAAATAAATTTACTAACCTTTATTATTCATATTTGATGACATACAATCATTCCTATTGCTTGACTTATAAAAATCATCAACTAGAGAAAAGTTAAAATTAATAAATATCTAACTACAAATATAATTTGAAAATACTTACTATTATTTGGAATATTAAAATCATATGATTTTTTACTATGAAATTCTGTTTAAAATAAATGTCTAATTATTTATTACTGTTATGTAAGTAATGCAATATTATAAAATAATTTTAAATGAAAAGTTGTATTTATATTACCTTCTAATTCCTCTATTTAATATAAAAAAAGTAATACTTATTAACAAATATTTTAAATAATAGAAATAATGTTTGTTTAAAATATTACCTTCTGTTGCATTTCTTGGTTCAGATAGATTTTCAAATTGATGAAATTTACTTGTAAGTAATATACTGTTCGTACTACTATTTGTTTTATCTAGTTCTAAATTCCTATCTATTTCTGATTGAAATGATTCATCCGTCATATTTTGATAATATAAATTCGTTTTTTGTATCTTATAAAAAAGCGTATTATGATCAGGTCTTTTTGATGGATCAGCATCCCAACATTCTTTCATTAAATTTTTATATTCTACAGGAGTTCCTAGTACAACTTTTGGTCTAATACCATTAATAATATTTATTGCAAGATTATAATCATGCTCACGATTAATAAATGGTGGTTGTCCAGATGAAATTTCCCACATAAGAATTGCAATACTATAAATATCAGATTTAAAAGTATATTCTTTTCCATTAATAACTTCTGGTGCTATGTAAGGAAGATTTCCATATATACATGTTGACGATTTATCAGCAACGCCACAAAATCCAAGATCACTAATATACCACCGATTACTAATTTCTGAAAACAATATATTCCCTGAATGTAAATCTCTATGAATTGCTAGATGTGTATAAGAGACAGCTAATATACCACCGATTACTAATTTCTGAAAACAATATATTCCCTGAATGTAAATCTCTATGAATTGCATTTTCCTTATGAATAAAATAAAGTGCCCTAACTATTTCAAAAGTAATATTGATATTTACTTTCCATGTAAGTTTATTATAATTTTGTTGTAAATATTCTCTTAAATTTAAATCCATAATACGCATTACAAGCATATAATTTCTATTTGATATGTTTTGTGTTAAACCAAAGCATTTGACAATAGTAGAATATTTATTGCCTATAGTTAAATGTGATTTAGCCTATATAAATTTAAAGACTTGTTAATAACATAAACCTGGTCACAGTAATTATAAATACATTATTTAGATCACAAACCTCTTCAAACCAACTTTTATTTGCGCTTTCAACATTTTCTAATCCTTTAAGTATCACTTTTAATCTTCCAAATCTTTTTAATTGTTGTTTTTTAGAATCCCATTCATCATATCTTCCATCAATCCAATCTGCTGTATAAATTTCAGAGAAACCACCTTTCGTTAGATACCTGATATTTTCTAAATCATTATATGGAACCCATTCAATTATCACATTTGGTTTAAGTGTTTCCATTTGACATTTCTGGATTAAGTTATCAATATTAACATTTCCAGATGTCCAATTTGAAAATTTTGCTTTTAAATAATTTCGAACACAAAATTCACAATATAATGTAGCTAAACATTCTTGTTTACAATTTTCACAAGTCCTTTTTGATCCTGAATTATAAAAAATTTTATCTCGATCATAACCTCTAATTAACCGATTTATTCCATAAGTTTTTTCATCTTTAGTAAGAGAATTATCAGCAAGAACTATTTGTTTTAGAAATTCATGCCGTTTGTGTATATCATTATGGACATTATAATCTATTAATGCACCTGATCTATTAACTGCTGCACGAACAATTTCTTCTCGAATAACAGACATTGAATTTTTTTTTTTTAAGCAAGCTTTAGAAGGAAGGAAGTTTTATAAATTAAGAGCTAAGAAAAATTACGGCAAGAAAAAAAAATAGGCTGAACGAAAGTTTTTGTAGCAGAAATTGTTAGGTAATGATGATCTACGGTCTTACTAATCACTATGCACCAAATATCGTACAAATTCTACTAAGTATTGTAATGCCGCGACTTACTTAGTAGAATTGTTAATTGTGGGGCGCAGTATTATATTTAGTTTTAGTGTATAAATTTTTTTAGTATTATAAATGTGTAATGTTGCAACCGTATGATGTATGTGTTCACTTTTATTTTTAGATATAGGAACGGGAACTAGGATCGAGATATAACTATAATAAGAAGTAGGTTCGAAGATCAAAAATTGAGATATTTTCCATGTAGAGAAAAAGGTTTACTAAAAGTAAAGAAAAATAAAATAAAATATTTTTTATGAACTTAGAATTTATTTTGATGAAAATCATTTCTTACAAAAAGACGTACGGTGTACCGTTTGGATGAAAAGTGCCAAAATTTCGAAAAATTGATTTTTCGATTTTTGAATTTTCAAAATCTCCTTTTATGGCAATGTAACGTTACACAAATGTCCAAATAAGGAAGTTAGTGTTACAAAATTTCCTTTTTTGGACGTTTTGTGTAACGTAGATCTATCCTATAAAAGGAAAATTTCCTTATAAGGCGATTTTAAAAGTTCAAAAGTTCAAAATTTCGAAATTTCAAAAAAAAATTACCATAAAAGGGATTTTTTTTAAGATTTTTGAAATTTCGAAATTTCGAAATTTTGAATTTGAAAATCGCCTTTTAAGGAAATTTTCCTTTTATGTAAGGGATCTACGTTGCACAATATTTAATTTATAGTGCCAGCCAGAATTATAATCTCCTTATACGGAAATTTTGTTTAAAAATATTTTTTTAACAAATCTGGTGGCTAAACTATTTACCCGAATTCCGAAATCATGTGTTAATATTTATTTTTACCAAAAATTGGAGTAAT